TTTATACATGTTATCGCAGTAAAATTTTAATTTTGATTAGAGAATTACATTAATCACATATAAAAAATTATATATATGAATTTTATTCTTAATAGAATCCTTTTGCTCAATATTTTTTTAATTCATTTTTAATACTAAAATTTTAAACAAATTTTTAAAGGTAATTATTGAGTTAATTACGTATTTAGAAACATGTCCAAAATAAAACGTGAATTAAATGATAAAATTACATACAAATGACCAAAATCAGTATAAGTTACTCATTGTGTTGCTTCTCACAAACGTGAATTAAATTAAATTTGTCGTGCAACCAAAATCAGTAAAAGTTTCATAAAAATCGTAATTAGGTTTTTAAGTTTTAAATGGAATTTCAAAATAGTTTTACATATTTTTGTTATTTTAGTCAACTATAATATTAATCCTTAATCCAAAACTTAATTACATTCAAATTAAATTTTTTAGTTTATATATATATTGTGCAGGAATTGAACATATGTCTTTCCCCCAAATTTAGTGATTATTAATTAGCAATTGAGTCATACCCGATCACATTTTATAAACACAAGTAACAAACTTGTAATATTTTTTAATTACTAATAAAAAGTTATTAAAAATATAAAATTAGTGGGTCACATTCTATAACGAGTCTCACTCATATTTTATAAATTTGAATTTGATAATAGAAAATATATAAAGAAAAAGGTGTCTTACCAATACTTTTTGTTTTTTTTTTTTTTTTTTTTGTGGGGAAGGGGGAAAGGGAGGTCTAACTGCAATTGTATTCCCTTATCGCTTAACTGTAGGGCACAAAAATGTTAAATGCACGTAAAGAGAGAGACAGATCATATAGTAGCTAGAGTGAAAAAAAAAAGAAGATAAAAGATAAAAGAATTAATGGTGAGAATTAAAATGTATGGTAGTCACGGAGACAAAAATGCAACATATAGGTGGTTTAGTGGTTAGAATTTATCCCAAGGTAGGAAAAGTAAAAGGTAATGTGAAGATGGATCTTATCATTCACTGTTTCAAGCTTATCTTGTTCTTAATTTCTCGTTAGGCAAATCCATTTTCAAACTTTATGGTTGCTCACGAGATTTTATTTACGTACAGAGAAGTAATATTGAGGAATCAATCCTGAATCCTAGTACGATTCTATTTTATTCTCAAATAAAAATGATCCACTGTTGTTCCACACTTTAATTGTTTTAAAAATTTAGTTTCACTGGCTAGAAGCATTTACAAGTGAGGCGTGCGGAAACATGCACAACCTTGTTTAGTTTAACCTAGTATTTATTCATCATCACATGGCACAGGGTGCTGCTTTTATGACTGTCAAAATGTTTTGTTCTAAAAAACCCGTGGAACCATGCATGCCTGAAGCTTCCATGTCCGTAGCAAAGTATAATTCATGTATATACGACCCTCTGCAATTGAGAAGACAGAATCCGAAACACGAGGATCCCTATATATGACCAGATCTTGAGTTGGATCATGTGACATGAAATCGTATCATCAACGACATCTCTTTGTTAGCTTAAATAATCTGATTTTTTTTCCTGTCATACTATATTTTTCAATCCATTGGATCAGACTAATATTATTATAATTATTATTTTTACGCATGATAATAATAATAAAATACGAGATTTTTTTATTAAATAAACTATTTTCGCAGTATAAACGCAAAATATCTAATTAGTGTCATGGAGACAAAAAAAAAAAAAAAGTAAACACTTATTGGTCTTGAAAATAAGCAATAAATAATGATACATTTAAAATAAATTTTATAACTTTATTTTATTTTATTTTTCTTTTTATATATTTTTATGAGTTAATCATTTATACACAGTGTAAAGTTTTTTTACATGGACAACCAATCATATTTTTTAATAGTGATATGTCAGTTATTTATTTAATGAAATAATAATAAAATAAGTAACTTTGAAAGATATCATTGTAAAGTTTAACTTCACAATAACGGTGTAGGGATGATTAACTCTATTTCTATTACATGATTTAAATCATCTTCTCTAACATTTATTTCTTTTCCTTTTTTAAGGGCATCTCATATGGACTTCTTAAAAGTGGGTTTTATTCAGATCAGTGTTTATTTAAAAGTAATAGTTGAACTTGAACATGCATTGAAGGTTCAGCTTGTTAACCACCGGATGCGACATTATAGGTAGGTCCAAAAACTAACTTTTAATAACAATAATAAATATTATTTATTTTTATATAATAAAAAGGTAATTAAATACAACTTGCACTCGTAAGTTACATGATCAAATATGTAATTAAAAACTTATCAAAAAAATTTCCAGATGTAGTCCGGGAACTTAATAATTCAACCTATTTTCTTCATCTACCCATGAGTATCGTATTCGCACAATTGTTTTTGATTATTATGCCAAGGTGATTTTGGAGTTCCCATACAATATTACGATATTTGTAAGACCAATATTTATTGAATTTGTTGCTCAAAACCAGAACCCAAGATTAATCGAATGAAAAGTAAATCTAGATGAATGGTCAAAGTTGAGTAATAGATGGCAAAAGATGAAGGCGAGAGGTGACAAGAACCGTTTCCGAAGCATTAATGCTTTCAATTTCGATCACTTTGTTTTCAGGACCAAGTCTCCACCAAATATGGCATGGTTTCTATCAAGAACATTAAACAAAAAGACACTTAAATAAATGGGACACTATGCGGTGTCTTTGCCTGGTTAAAACCTAAACCTAAACCTGGCTTTACGATTTCGTCAAGGAAACGTCGATTTCGAAATGAAGATAAAGAGAAAACATTAATAAAAGCAAAGGGGTGTGCA